TGGGAGGTTGAGCCCAGTGGATCACTTGAGCTTAGGAGTTTGAGAGGAGCCTGGGCAACATGGCAAAACCCCGTTTCTACAAAAAGTGCAAAACTTAGCCAGGTGTGGCCAGTGACCGAGATTGAGCTACTGCACTCCAGCCTTGGTGGCAAAATGAGACCATGCCAAAAAAACTTGACCAGATGGCCAGGCGTGGTGGCTCATGCCTGTAATCCTAGCACTTTGGGAGGCTGAGGTGGGTGGATCACCTAAGGTCAAGAGTTCAAACCAGCCTGGACATCATGGTGAAACCTCATCTTTAAAAAAATACTTGACCAGCCATGGTGGTTCATGCCTGTATTCCCAGCACTTTGCAAGGCTGAGGCAGGTATATTACTTGAGGCTAGGGGTTCAAGACCAGCCTGGCCCCATCTCTATTAAAAATACAAAAATTAGCTGGGCATGCTGGTACACATCTATAGTCCCAGTGACTCGGGAGGCTGAGGCATAAGAATTGCTTAAACCCAAGAGGCAGAGGTTGCAATGAACCAAGATGGTGCCACTGCACTCCGGCCTGGGTGACAGACTGAGACTCTGTCAAAAAAAAAAAAAAAATTAGTGCATTAGCAGATCCATTTTTTTTCTGCTTCTTATGCCTATGTGTCAAATGATTCTGTGACATTCCAGACTAGACCCTTACTAGACTTAGTAAGGGTCTAGTCTGAAAAACACAAGGCTTAATGGTATTTTACCAGAGATAATTTAGTATAAGGGATTGGCTAATCCAGTAGGGAGAACTGAAAAGAGCAGAAAGAGAAAATGAGGTAACACAGAGTTAAAGCCTTTAGGAAGTAGGCATCATGCCTCAGTCTAGGGGAACAAAGGGAATAGGTTGGGATTCTCAGAACTAGAAATTTGGAGGCAAGGTCCTGGAAAGCTGGGACTCAGACCCCTGGGAAAGGGGTGCTGCTTGGCTGTGCTGGTGGCACTGAAAGTGTGTGAAAAAGCTGAAGACTGGGGCTAGGCATGGTGGCCCATGCCTATAATCCCAGCACTTTGGGAGGCCAAGGCGGGTGGATAACTTGAGGTTATGAGTTCAAGACCAGCCTGGTCAACATGGTGAAACCCTGTTTCTACTAAAAATACAGAAATTAGCAGACATGTTCCCATACTCCTGTAATCCCAGCTACTCAGGAGCCTGAGGCAGAAGAAATTCTTGAACCTGGGAGGTAGAGGTTGCAGTGAGCCAAGATCACACCATTGCACTCCAGCCTGGGCAACAGAGTGAGACTCCATCTCAAAAAAAAAATTGCTGGAGACTGGACCCAGCTGATTCTGTCAGGGTGATGAAAGGCTATTGCTGTGGCACTACGGAAGGAAATAGCCAGCAGGCAGGAACCAATCCCTTCTGCCTCCTCCTGCCTTCTGGTGTCCCCCTCATATACCCTATGGGCAGAACCTTCTGGAAACCAACTGGCAAAGCAGAAATGAGGTCTGCAGAGACCTGGCATCACAAAGCAGAGCGTGGAAGTGGGGGTTCAGAGCTGATGTAGAATCACCTTATGACTGGCATGGTCCCACGCCCACCTCTTGACCTTGACAACCTCAAGGGCTGGAACAAGAAGACACTGTGCAGTTTTCAATTCCACTAGCTGCCACACACGGCCGAGTTCTGGCTGGTATCCTGTTTGAGGCCGAGGGGTAAATATGAAATGAGTGTTAGTACTTTTCTAAGTCACATGGCGTTCTGTTCTTTGAACAACAGTCACAAAATGGACATGGCTCAATTTGCTGAAGATTCTTATCAAGGACTGATAAAATAGAATTTACATATAAACCTCTTCTCAACTGTGTTGGATGTCTGTTACCAAATGACATGTGCACTTGCTTACAAACATCTTTGATGCTCTGGGAACACAAATGTGACCCCAGACTTACAGCAATGCTCAGAGATGTGTGAGTAGGATTTTCAGCTTCAAAAGAAAAGCCAATAAGCCCTCAAGATAGATTTCTTAGAAATGTGTGTGGATACAGCTGCCTTTAGATTATTTTGTTTCAGAGTTGTTACTGGCTGGCAGGGTGGCTCACGCCTATAATCCCAGCACTTTGGGAGGCAGAGGTGGGCAGATCACTTGAGCCCAGGAATTGGACCTGGGCAACATGACAAAACCCTGTCTCTACAAAAATTACAAAAATTAGCCTGTTGTGGTGGTGTACCCCTGTAGTCCCAGCTACTCAGGAGGCTGTGGTGGGAGGACCACTTCAGCATGGGAGGTGAAGGCTGCAGTTAGCCGTGATTGCACCACTGCACTTCAGCCTGGGTGAGGGCAGTGAGAACCTGTGTTAAAAAAAAAAATAAAAAAGAAAAGAAAAGAAAAGTTGGCCAGGTGAGGTGGCTCACACCTGTAGTCCCAGCACTTTGGGAGGCCAAGGTGGGTGGATCATGAGGTCAGGAGTTCAAGACCAGCCTAATGAAACCCTGTCTCCAAAGAAAAAAATAATAATAATTATACCTTAGAAATGTTTTCTATCAAGGTGCTCTTCATGTTGTCTTAGCATTTGTGAGCCAAGAACAAGGGTCAAGAAACATTTTCTGCTAAGGGCCAGATAGTAAATACTGCTGACTTCTTGTTGCAGCTAAATTGCCATTGCAGTGCAAAAGGAGACATAGAGTGTAACTCAATGAATGGGCACAATATTTGTTTTTTTGAGAGAAGGTCTTGCTCTGTGGCCCAGGCTGGAGTACCGTGGCGCGATCTCAGCTCACTGCAGCCTTGATCTTCTGAGCTTAAGTGATCCTCCCACCTCAGCCCCGCAAGTAGCTGAAACTATATGCATGCACCACCACACCCAACTAAGTTTTTTGT